TGGTTTGAAATTTATATTTTGGAAACCGCGTCATATTTTTAATTTGTTCCCATTTATTCATAATAACCCCGGTTGCTACATGNCTAATTGTCGGTATTTTATGTATAAAGTTTTTGGCGGTGTTAATTTTATATTTGGTGGGTTGCGAAGAGTAATCATTAATTAATTAGGCGTCCAGAAGATGCNTGTAAACAAGGACACAACATCAAACGACACTAACACCTCTTCTTCCCGCACACAAAAATTTTTTAACAAATATTTTTGTTGTATACTAGCATTAATACTAAAATTTTCAATACATAACCAATAAAAAAAAAGTTAAATATTACTCAGTGATATATGTATCTCTTTAAATCAATAACTANTATTTTATGTATAAAGTTTTTGGCGGTGTTAATTTTATATTTGGTGGGTTGCGAAGAGTAATCATTAATTAATTAGGCGTCCAGAAGATGCAGGCTTAGAATACCAATCTAGTATAAGGTTGCCATTTTCTCTAAAAATACGCGCATCTAAAAAAGGATACTGGCATTCTCTTCCATTCCTATGTANTCCGGGCCCCCGATTTCTTCAAACTTCTCTCATCTTCCTCTTTGAAATTAGTACCACGCTTCCAGGAAAACGTGCAAATTTAAAAGAAAGAAAGTTTGCGTTCATATTTTGAAAATAACGTTAATCAATAAGATTAAGCTCAAAACTCAGCACCGGTCATTCCAAATTCCAAGGTTTTCCTCCATAAGCCAGCTTGGTTTGGCTCCTGCGGTGGTTGTTAGGTCATTATCCTTCGTAAAAGGCCAACCTGGAGGCATGCATATTACGTTAAAATTACTCAACTTTATTTTTAAATGTTTGCGAATAATTAAACTGGCCCACTTTTCCATTTATTTGTAGGAACATATCTTACTGCTTTACTTCATGTACTTCAATAATGTCATAAATCACAAAACAAAAATCTAGGAAATCGACTTTTATGTTTTCAATTTACATATCGCACACCTAGATCTAAAGTGCGATCAACTTNTCTTTTTGCTGACCACACGTAATGTGCATCAGCCTTTTGTACTAGTTCTTTACAGTGCATAATACTATTTATTGTACTGATGGTTAGTTTATTTCTGAGTTTGGTTTTTGGGCGCAGGCGAGTTTTCATCACCACGAGAAATTTCAGTATTTGTTAATTGACACATATTACATGCCTACTTAGTCGCAATTTTTTACCTGAACAAGTCGTCGTTACTATTGTCCACACTTACTTCGGACGGTTTAGAGGCTTTATAGATATACCTGCAAATAAACAACGATTAAAAAGTAACTAATTTAAAGAAAAATTAACTTACTGGGCCATCACTAATCTTTTCCCTTATTTGTTAAATTCAATTGAAGAAAGGCGCGCAAATGCCAAGTTTTTGACATTTAACATCTTTCTTTCACGCTTTCTCTTGTCATTATTTCCTTTGCTTGCTATGAATACAGAGTTACCATTCATAGATATTTTTAGAGTAACTATAAATTGTAGATAGCACTGGAAGTATGCAATCTTAAGCAAACAAATTTTATTGCTCAATTTGGTTGCAATTTCACATTTGCCTACCAAAAGCTTCATCCTACCAACCAAACTACCAAAGGATCCAAAGGTCCAATTGGACCAAAACGGCAACGCTGTTTCTATGGTAAACCGAAATTTGCTGTGATGTTTGTTTAGTGTTTTTAGAATGATATTCACGTCGTTTCTTTTAATTATCGCAAAAATGTCGTCCACGTATTTGGTAATGAATTTAATTTCAATGTTGTAGTCGTTTTTGAGCTCCGAAATGGTATTGTCCAGTAGATCATCCATGATGATATCAGGAATCGTTGGAGAAAGAGGGTTTCCCATGGGCATTCCGAAAGTTTGGGTGTAGAGTTTGTTGTCATACATAAAATAATTGTTGTCTTTGAGGCAAAAGTTTAGAATGGTTTGAAATTTATATTTTGGAAACCGCGTCATATTTTTAATTTGTTCCCATTTATTCATAATAACCCCGGTTGCTACATGTACCGGTATATTTGTAAACAAGGACACAACATCAAACGACACTAACACCTCTTCTTCCCGCACACAAAAATTTTTTAACAAATATTTTTGTTGTATACTAGCATTAATACTAAAATTTGCAATACATAACCAATAAAAAAAAAGTTAAATATTACTCACTGATATATGTATCTCTTTAAATCAATAACTATCCCCATAAAACGACTTGGCCACGCATATATATACTGTCTCACCTCCGGGCCCCCGATTTCTTCAAACTTCTCTCATCTTCCTCTTTGAAATTAGTACCACGCTTCCAGGAAAACGTGCAAATTTAAAAGAAAGAAAGTTTGCGTTCATATTTTGAAAATAACGTTAATCAATAAGATTAAGCTCAAAACTCAGCACCGGTCATTCCAAATTCCAAGGTTTTCCTCCATAAGCCAGCTTGGTTTGGCTCCTGCGGTGGTTGTTAGGTCATTATCCTTCGTAAAAGGCCAACCTGGAGGCATGCATATTACGTTAAAATTACTCAACTTTATTTTTAAATGTTTGCGAATAATTAAACTGGCCCACTTTTCCATTTATTTGTAGGAACATATCTTACTGCTTTACTTCATGTACTTCAATAATGTCATAAATCACAAAACAAAAATCTAGGAAATCGATTTTTATGTTTTCAATTTACATATCGCACACCTAGATCTAAAGTGCGATCAACTCNGGACACAACATCAAACGACACTAACACCTCTTCTTCCCGCACACAAAAATTTTTTAACAAATATTTTTGTTGTATACTAGCATTAATACTAAAATTTGCAATACATAACCAATAAAAAAAAAGTTAAATATTACTCACTGATATATGTATCTCTTTAAATCAATAACTATCCCCATAAAACGACTTGGCCACGCATATATATACTGTCTCACCTCCGGGCCCCCGATTTCTTCAAACTTCTCTCATCTTCCTCTTTGAAATTAGTACCACGCTTCCAGGAAAACGTGCAAATTTAAAAGAAAGAAAGTTTGCGTTCATATTTTGAAAATAACGTTAATCAATAAGATTAAGCTCAAAACTCAGCACCGGTCATTCCAAATTCCAAGGTTTTCCTCCATAAGCCAGCTTGGTTTGGCTCCTGCGGTGGTTGTTAGGTCATTATCCTTCGTAAAAGGCCAACCTGGAGGCATGCATATTACGTTAAAATTACTCAACTTTATTTTTAAATGTTTGCGAATAATTAAACTGGCCCACTTTTCCATTTATTTGTAGGAACATATCTTACTGCTTTACTTCATGTACTTCAATAATGTCATAAATCACAAAACAAAAATCTAGGAAATCGACTTTTATGTTTTCAATTTACATATCGCACACCTAGATCTAAAGTGCGATCAACTTAAAAAAAATTTGGGCGATTTTTTTGCATAAATCAATTCATAGGACTTACATCCAATTAATGGAAATATTTTTTTCTTCGTAATTATATACATTAACTAAAAAAACTACTGTTATACCTGGTTTTGTATTAATTGCGTTAAATCTGTACGATCCACAAGCAGTTAAATTTCCCTCTCTGAATTTAGAGTTAGCTCACTTTAGATCTAAATACAAAATTTTAAGTCAACATTTTAAAAAGGTTTTCTATATTTAGTAGAAACCGACCGAAGGTAGATTTTTCTGCCGAATCCGAAGCCGAACCGAACGTTCGGTTTGGTACTAACAATCTTCCGATTACCGAAGCCGATGATTTACTTTAAATTGAAGTAAATCGATTTTTAAAAAAATAAACCCCATCTTGCCTTGCGGCCATTGAAAATTTTTTTTTAGCATTGTTTTTGAGCGGTTTTTTAACGCCGAATATACTTTTTATATTGGCATCAGCACCACCTAGCGGTTCTATTTTTTGCAAATCTATGTCTTCCTACGTTTCAGCTAGATCATTTTTCGCAAAAATTTTTCTGGCTAAATAACCAGTACATATTATTATTATAACAAGTAATTTTTAAGCAAAAAACAGAATTGACATCATGATCCAATGGTCGGATCTAAACCAAATTAGTATGGGATCACCTCTGAGGTACCGCCTAGGTTAACGTGGCCCAAAGTTATGCGGTAACATACATAAAAAAACATTCCTCCTTTATTTTTGAAGTTAGTTAAAAAGAGGCCAAATTGGTCCATAAATAAATTAGATATATGAATTTAATATTTTTTTTTTCGCGGTAGACTTTCCACTGGAAACACCCATATACCCCTATAGTAAAAAAGACTAACTATTTTGTTCTAGTGAGCTACTGGTAATCGATACATCTATAAACATAGAAGAAGAGGTAGCGGTAATTTCTGCATACTCAACTCAATATTTGTATTTTTGGGATTTTGACACTATTGAAGTAAATGAGCGATACGTATGTATATCATCAAACGCAGGAATAATGAGAAAGCAAAATTTTTCTACGAGGGCGGCGCTTTCGGAAGCGTTGACTCGTCGCACGTGCACGACGCTTGGCGGCGGGCCAAAGCGAATCGCCTCTAAAGAGACAACATCTACTTTTTGTATTGAAATTATATCGTATGGCTTAATTTCTAATAAGTAAAATTTGTGGTTATAGCGTTATTTCACTTTTCTCATGGAAATAAAGCCATATGGCCTTATTTGTCTATGTGAAGTGAAATAAAGCCATTTGCCGTTATTTCAATGGTTTTATTGCACGGTGCCGTTGGAAACTTACATTTTATATTAGCGTCTTCCATCAGTTTTTTTAATTATTCGTAAAATTTTTCACTAAAATTTATAAACATAATGACTACAACAATAAAGTTTTTTTAAGGCATATTCGAAATTTGAATTTTGCGCAGAAAAAGGGGGTTATTTGACCTTGATCTATTTTGGTGCATCATACCAAAATCCATTGAAATCAAGTTTTATTGCAAGATCAATAAATATTTTATAAATATGTACATATTTTCTTGTTTCAGGGATGGACTTTTGGAGAAACGCTTTGTAAAATATTTCCAGTCATATTTTATGGAAATGTAGCTGTATCTCTATTGAGCATGGTTGGAATCACATTAAATAGGTAAGATCTTAAGCTTAATTAATATGCGTAACAAAAATGAGAACAGCGGCGAAATTCAGAACAATAAACAGGTGCAAGTTCTGAATGGAGTAATAAAAAATCGTGTAATATGTACATATATTTTTTGTAATCAACTTTTGTTTATCTATTATATTACATATGTGGCGCGCGGACGAGGGCCGCCGCGAAGTTACGCAAATTTAATGTTTGAAAGGGAATTATGTCAATGGATTTTATTTCGCTTTTGAAAATGTAATAATGTCAATTGACTTTATTTCACACCAGTATGTGAAATAGTGTCAATTGGCCTTATTTCCGTTGATCTTCTTACCTGTCACCATTAAAATCGTGTCTTGATAACTTTTCGCGAAATATGTGATTTTAATAATAATAATAATACATACGAATATATATTAGACTGACCAGAAAAAAATGAAAGTGATTATTTTTTGACGCTCTTGACTTTTTAGCTTCCACTATGACTAAAAACTATTCCCGGAAAATTTGGTCTAAATATATTAACATTTAGAGGTCTCGCGTAGACGTTTTGTGCCTCCACTTCAAGTGGGTAAAAATACTCTTCCTTCAACCCATGCGCACACGAAATCCCTCACGAAATTGAAGTTTTTAAGGTTTCAGTATATGTTTTTCGCTGAACACGTTGGGCGAAACAATTTTTCGAGCTGGCCCTTACGTTTTGAGATATTACGAAAAAGCCTTACAAAAAACGAGAAAAAATCCGAAATCGCGCTTTAAAAGATGATTATTTCTTAGAAAAAATTTTGGAATTTTTTATCATTAGTAATATCTATAGCCACAATTTTGACAAACCAAAGGAGTTATCGCAGAGAATACTACGTTCATTTTATTTGGAAATATTACGAAAAAATCTTTAAAAAAGAGAAAAAAAGATTAAAATTGCGCAGTAAAAGTTAATTAATTTTTTTATTCCTTTATTTAATTATTCCTTAGAAAAGATTTGCAATTTTTTTAACATTACTGCTCGCAATTATAGCTACATCTTTGGCAAACGAAATGAGTCGTCGGGGAGAATATTGCGTTCATTATTTCACTAAATATCGGTAAATTACCAATGAAGTGCATACATATTAGGCTGGATCGATTTTGTATGGGGGAAAATAAAAGTCATTTGACCGTATTGTAATAGTAATATTATGATGTCTTAGGTCTAATTCATTTCTTATTGGCCACGAAAGATTAATTTAAAACTTATCTTTAGCCCACGCAATTGAATCAAAGTGTATGAATTTTGAAAATGAGACTTTGGCTTGTAATATTTATGGAATGCGTTAATTGTTATAAACGGGACGATACATCAAATTAAGGGTTATTAAATTTAGTACCTCACGTTCATTTACCATTTTTCAATAAGTCTACTAGTTTTTAAGATATTAAGATAAAACTTACAAAAGCTATAATTTTCCCTTATAAATTTTCAATTCTTCATTACTTCAGCAACCAAGTGAAAAAGTGAATGGCTTCATTAGTCACCGAAGAAGCACATTTTTCTCAATTTCCCGTTATATGAAAGTAGGGGGCGTGCATTAAGTGTTTAGATATACATAAATATTTAGGGTATTCACAGTTTACTTCTAAAGTTAAAAGGTGGTAACTTTAACAAGATAACACACTCGAACTGTGAGCANTATGGGACTGAGAAATATTATTTTCTACTTTTTAGTCCATTTATAAAAGCGTTGTATATTAAAAAGTTTTTTTTTTATATTATTTATTAAGAGCTAAAATTGTCCAACACTAAACACTAACAACAGGCAGAATGGGAGGATAAAATAAACTGTAAAATAGTAAATTTTCTAAATATTCAATTTTTCGACAGAAAACGTGGTTTTATTGTGTTAAATTGCAAAATATATGATTTATAAAAGGAATTAATAGCGAAAATGTGAAAAAACGGCGGTTTTTGTGAAAGTATTAGCAAACTTCAGTGCATCTAAAGTATCTAAAGCATTGCTTCTGGAACGTGTCACATTTGTTCGCTACATCGTGATGTGATAAAAAGAATAGCTGGTAGTACTCCGCAAGGTTGCAGAAATCTTTCAAAATATGTTCGAAAAATGTCTTGATATGGAAGGAACTGCTTTACACTGTCAAGGAAAAAAATTGCCAAAACTCAACGGAATTTTTAGCAACTTCAATCTTGCACTTTCTTATACTAAAATTATTTTTTTTTTAGATTCTAATTAAAATGTTTGCAAATTAGGTGAAACCTTGCAGAATAGTTTTAATTTTTGTACAAAGTTTGATCCAAAACCTGAGATCTACCACATTTTTTTCCAGATTCTACCACACAAATTTTTTTTTCAAGTCCGATCACTGGACAGAAGGAAAGCGGTTGCCACGTATTCAGAGCGCCACCCAAATCACTCAGCGGCATACTCAACACAAGCAGCAAAAGCATCCCATGTAAGAACAGATCTCAAGAAAATAGCATTAACAATACGCAAACTCACCATACTCACCATCGCCATCAACATATGTATGTATGTTTCTACCTACAAGAAATTAACCGACTGGGAAAAATATAAAAAATACGGTGTCGGCCTCTCTACACGAATACGCTTCTCACGATAAGTCCTGCTTAACGTTAAGAGCTGATAAATAGAGTCTCTCGAACACGAGGTTGATGAAGCAGAGAACTTTGTCACAAATGCCTGTAATGCTGCTTTCAGGGCCTCCTACCCAAGCACTCCCGAAGGGCTAAAAGAAACTAGTGGTAGAATCCCGAGATTTCAGCACTGAGGAAAAACATCAGGAGGCTTTTAAATCAAGCCAAGCAAACAGGTCTTTGGCAACCCTACAAATATGCCCTCAGATTGTTCAAGAAGGCCATAAAGATGGCGAAAGCCTAATCTTGGCAAACCTTCTGCAACAACGTAGAATAGAACTCTGAAGCCAACAAGCTGACAGAAGTTCTGTCGAAATCTTCAAATATGAACTTTATCCAGAAGCCTAACCACTATGACCACTCGTTACTAGGTGACACCGTAAGGGACGTCGTAAATTATGAGAGGGTAGAATGGGCTATAATGTCCTTCCAGCCCTACAAATATCCAGGACTTGACGAAATCTTTCCCGCCCAACTACAACAAGCTAACGACATACTATTTTCTCTGATTTCTCAGATTTTTATAGCCTGCCTAACCCTTAATCACATACCATACGAGTGGACAAAGGCGAAGGTTGTCTTCTTACCAAAAGGAGGCAGAGCCGCTCATGTGAAACCGAACGATTTCAGGGCCATAAGCTTCACTTCATTCTTTCTTAAAACTCTAGAGAGGCTCGTTGAGGAATATATTCGAGGGAGTATTCCAAGGGAAAATCCGTGGAGACCGGATTTCACCAAATCCTACTGACGATTTAAAAAAATGTTGACTAAAGGAATATACGCTCGCAGTTTTTCTCGATATCGAGGGTGCTTTCAACAATGTCTATCCGAAGTGCAAAGGCGTCTGGTGGATTTCGTTGGCGTCCTTCTGGAAAAAAGAACTATTCTATCAGAAGTGAGCGAGAGCTCCGTTGCAAAGTATGTGACAACAGGCACGGCCCCTTGGGTCCCCTAATCTCTAACCGTTTACGCCCTACTTCTAAGCCTAAAGGGCATCGGTTGTCAAGTCAGCGTACGCAGATGACATAGCAATCGTAGCAACCGGCAAACATATGCAGGTGCTGAGTAAGCCCAGTGGTATCACAGCGGGCTTTTCCAACCTACGTGTGCTCAGTGCTCTACGCGGTGGCAGCCACTCTAACATAACCTTCTTTCAATTATGCATAAACCTAACATAACCATCTACCAATTATGTATAAACCGTTTTGTTCGTATTAAAAATCTTATTTTCATAAAGCTCATTAGTTTTTCAGCATACCGTGAAACTTCAAATCCTTTGATAAACTTGTTTTTCCTAAAAAGAATGTATGCGACCATTTCCAGGATATTTAGGACTACTTATTTCCAAACAAAAATTTATATCTCGACATCGCGAAAAATGCCATTTGCAAAACCAAAATTAAATAATTTTTGTTTATAAATTATTGCAGGTACATTCTGATTGCCTGTCATGGGTTATACGTACAAATATATAAACGTAGTTATATCCTACTTCAACTTATTTTTATCTGGTCAACATCATTTTTATTGCTGGTAAGTTACACCCATTTTTTCTTTTCTCTAACTGAATACTTTTTTGTTTCTAATCAGATGCCTTATATCGTCACCTGAAATGCAAAAAGACGTAACAAACATCATCGTTGAAATGCAAAAAGTCTTAACGAATAAAAAATTCAAAATTCACTTTTTGATTTATATCTACAACTCCCCACAACATTTTATGAAAAAAAAAATTATTTTAAATATTATTCATGACCTTCTGCATTTCATGTACGATGCTGTTACGTCTTTTTACCTCGATTTTATTAGCTTGGGATGTAACTATCTAATATTGAAGCGCCAAAAAGATGCAGCGATTTCCATTCTCAAGTTACATACCTGCTGACAGTACGAATGGAAATTATAAAAGCGAGTTTTTAGTTTTTTAAACTATAATTTTTACATTTCCGGTGACGACATGTATGTTTGACAGACGAAAATGTTGATGATTAACCAACACATAAATGCAAATTTCGAAAGCTATTATCCGAGATAATCGAATTCCATATGAATAAATATTCCCAAGAAGATGAGGATGAACAAATACAAATTTTCTAAATTTTTTTTGTGTTGCCTGTTAAATTATCGGAATAATTTATTCACATGGCGATACAACATATTTAAAATTTGTGGATGTATTGCTATTAAAAAAGTCATAAATGGGAATACTTCTTTTCATTTCATCCACATACTTAGATATACATACATATGTACATTAGGCATATGATTTTTAAAATTAATATAGCTAAAATCAGAGGAGGAGGAATAAGAAAAAAACCAACAAAAAAATAACGCTTTTGTCAAAATTTGGTACAAAAAGTTCCCGCAGGGATTTCCCAGAGAGAAAAAAATTGCCCTGAAAAACAAAAATACATACAGTACAGCACATACACTAGCGGCCAAAAAAATCCGGACACTGATTAATGGCGCTAAAACTCCGCTGTGTCCAGTTAAATATTTTTTTGCGTATTTTTATAAAAATATACATTGTTCATCCTTCAACAAAACCCACAAAAATCAGAGTTGCGTAATTTGTGCAAAATTTAAGCAAATTTTGGCGTTTTTGGTTTATCAAATTTTGGCAAATAAAGTGCAAGTTTGAAGCAGCTAAGGCTTCCTGTTATATTGCTAATTTGCTCCAAATAAAAACAAATTCGAGCATATATTATACCGCGGAGTTTTAACGCGATTACTCATACGTACATTAACCCTTGTGTTACTACCCGGGTACCGGGGTACACACCACAGGAAAATTTTCCGTCTAAGTCGAATATTGGTTGACATTTCTTTCCTATCCTCCGGATCGTCGTTATTTAGCTTAAATAAAGGAACTTGGACAATTGAATGTAAAAAAATTGTGTTATTTATCAAAACAATAATCGACTTGAAATGTAGTATACCGTACCAGCACCCGGGTAGCCAATTACTTCGGTAGTATATTTTGTAGTTTTTTTCTATTATACGCACGTAATTCGTAAAAATAACTATACTATATAACTTATTACGAAAACAAAAACGTTTAAATTATCACTTTATTTATAGCAAATATTATATTTTATGATGTTTTTGGAATGTTCATCACATAACGCTTGTTCACATTCCCAGCAGCTCTTCCTCGTTTTTCGTCTTTTTTTCTTTTCCTGTTTATTGCAAATGAAACCACAACCAGTTACTTCGATTCTTCCTGGTGCATTTTGTTCAAGTGAAGGGCTTGGCGTAACATCCACAGTAATTTTTTGACGACCTATGATGCTTTAAATGCCGATTTTTGTCGCATAATTTCTCATTATTTGTACGTTTGTCAAACGATTTTAGATATTGGTTTTGTTAACTCCTCGCTCAATTGACGCATAAACAGCCGTCACTGGTTAACTTTCTTTTGGAGCATTTCATTATTTTTTTATAGGAAATAAGATATGAAGCGAGTGAACTAATATCTATTATATTGAAAAACATCGCTTAAGGCCATCGCAAACTCGCCGTTTCGTTGTGTATCTTCTAGCCATCTGGTTCATGGTATCAACTCCAGCTTTATACTTAAGATATAATATGGGGTGTCTTCTTGTCATCATCGTTCACAGCCGTATCGCAATGCAATGTGGATGGCATAATTACGGGTTTATTTCTGTTTGGTATGTATAAGCACATAGTTACTCTTTCATGGACACCAAATACGGTAGAGTACTGCTCTTAGGCCCTCTTTGGGGCCCATTATGTTTTGTATGTAGGGCTTATTTTTTCTCAAAGTACCAACAAGAGTACAATTCCATGAAATCAAGGGCTTTTCGCCTGTGCCTTTGTGTGCGATAGCACATGTGCGTGTATTCTATTGTAGTTAGGGGACACCCATATTATTTTTGAAATTTTTCTTACTAAATTCTCTTAATTTAATCTATATTCACAAACAAATTTCAGTGCGCAAAATGGATTTGTGACGAATAGTAAAACAAATACTGTGTGGGTACCCAGGTACCCCGGGTGCTAGACAACGTAAGAAAATTTGGGTATTAACACAAGGGTTAAGGCGTATCACGAAAAAAAATTTAGGTTGTGTCAGTTTTATTTGAACACTTACATATGTCAGAGAAAATTTTGGAAGTAAACATTTTTTAGGTTCCCGCTGAAACCCTCTAAATCGCGTTTTTCGCTGTCACTTTCTTATTTCATGTCTTCTTAAATCTTTATGTCGCTGAAAAGGTCTCGCTCACGACCTTTTGTTTTATAATTTTGTTTCACTAATTTTTGAAATACTATCCCTAGTTTTTTTTATTTTTATTCTCTTAATCAGAGGTGCTCAACAAACTTAAGTTACTAAGCCAAACGACAGCAGCGTCAATATCAATTACAACAACATTGTTCTGAGAATTTAAAAAAAATTTTCAACCCCAAAATAAAAAAAACCAATGATGCAAGCATACATATGCGCAAATTTNAAACGACAGCAGCGTCAATATCAATTACAACAACATTGTTCTGAGAATTTTAAAAAAATTTTTCAACCCCAAAATAAAAAAAACCAATGATGCAAGCATACATATGCGCAAATTCAAACCAACGCTAGGCAGCAGTGAATGAATGTCGATCTATTTTTGTCCCGTTAGTTTTTATTGAGTCAACACTTGTTTAGTTTATTTTATTGTGTGTGTTGTAACTGAGCCAAAGTGAGCCACAGTGAAGTTGTTGTAAGCCAACTGAATGTCGACCGATTTTTGTCCGTGAACATTTTGGGTGTCGTGCCTCCACGAATTCTATGTTTGTTATAAGTGAGCTACAGTGATGTTGTTGTAAGCCAACTGAGCCAATTGAGCTACTTGATGAGCACGCCTGCTCTAAATCTAAAGACGAGGTTGCTAAACAAGTATTAGGCAGCGTTGCCACAAGTGAAGGTTTATCTTCAAAATTAGGATTTTTGGGTTTTTTTATTAAAAATCTTCCAAAAAGGTTTTTTAAAAGCAAAATTTTACACTGAAAATATCTTCAAAATGAAGATTTTTGTGCATTTTTTTATTTATTTAATATTAGATTGAAAACATTAGTGCATTAAGATGTAATCTGTACTTGCACAATGATACAAACATTGCAAAAATAAAATAAAAAGTACAGATAATAATTAATATTACAATATAGATTAAGATAATGTATGTGTTGAATTACAAATCATATATTCTAAAATAAAACAAAGGTAAGCTTATAACCACTATTCTTGATCACGCTTGGAAGAAAAAAAGTTAAACATGAGTTTTTTGATGTGCATGATGTAAGATTTTTAAAGTTTAAGTTAAAATTGTTAACTTTTTTATTTTATCCTTGTTGTTGCAGTGCGGACGTTCGTGAAAAATGCCCACAATTAAAAAACCCGTCTCGGATAACCAAGAAACCCCCAAAAAAAAGACCCACTCACTCAGGAAGGTCGGGCCTGCGTTCGGACAAGGCCAAACTAGCCAGCGGTGCGAAGCCTGTGGCCAAGCCAGGGCAGAGCATACGCTCCGTCCCCTCTTTAACTGCCTCAACGGCATCGAGGCCCCCTTCCGGATACCGGTTCACTAGACAAACTAGCGAGGAAGTACATCCACCCGGTGCTGGAAGCAGACCCAACCTCGGCAAGGGAACACCGACAGGTGCAACCCCTAAAGCGACGCCGGCGACAGAATGACGAGGTGTGTGGACCAAAGGTCAGTCGACCTCTACTCATCGGCAATAGGTCGCATCTGGGAACTCTGGCCGGGAGCACGCCTCGAAGTGGTCAAGCGGGAAGACATTCCCAATGGGCCAAGATCCAGGACCTGGATCCCAGACTTCCACACCGACCCACAGGAAGTGCTGGAATGGATCCGCATGGGCAATCCTGAGCTACCCACCCATGATTGGAAGGTAGCTAAGATAGGCGAAATCGACGGTAAACGGAGGCTGGCGGTGATAGTCCTCAACGAGGAGTCAATATAACCGATTTCCAACCAAAACTTTAAGATAAACTACGGCTTCCAGGCCCTGAACCTCCATGTCTATAGACAAGATGTGTCGGGGAAGCTAACCTCAGCCGAAACAGCAGAGGCAGCTGAAAGCGCTACCGAGCACGAAGTGGCATCCAACTCTGGCATGGTAGGCGACCTCTTTGAGAGAATAACTCTGGAAGGGATGGCGGGGGAGCACTCCGACTTCTCCGACACCATATTGGAAGGGGAAGGAGAAGACGTCCCCCCTCCAGTGTTGCCAGAACTTTTTGGGCCAACCGGCTAAATTGGCAAAAAAAAA